GAGATACCCGAAATGTATACCTGCTACTGAAAAATGACCATTTACGGCTCAACGGATGATAAAAAGCATATAAAAGCATATATTTTCTTTAAAAGCTGATAGAATGAGCCATTCAAGAATGATCAGCGATCAAATAAATACAAACAAAGCCGAGAACGTGATAGACTCAACAATTAGTGCATCAGCACGGCGAAACAAGTGATAACACATAGCGTGTAGTCACTCAGCGGGACCGCGACACTTTATCGATCGATATCTCGGCTAAGAGACGTTCTACGAGGTCAAGATAACTTGCAAAGTCATTGGTCACTATTTATAACTTTGGCCTGTAATTGACTACGTCATTTTCCATATAAGGAACACTGGAATTTTCCATTGAAAAGGGTCAGCGTCTTTATGCCCTATATATAGGGCCTGCGCACTTACCGGGTAGCCCGGCTCACGCCCTTTATATAGGGCCTGCGCGCTTCCAGGGTTAAGAAGGACTTCCATGACAAGCGACCACCCCTAACAAACGCAATAGAAGAGACCTAAATTGGCGTTTCGGTACCCCTAAATCCAGATCTAGATCTAGATCTAACAACCCTGAACCTTGTCTCCTTATTTTAATTAATTAATTTGGTTCTTCAGAATGAACAATTAAAGTTGAGATTTCTGTGTGTGTGTGGTTGTTGTGCTGAACTATCCATGTGTATCCAAACTGTAATAGGCATCACACGTAGAATGTTTCTTCTCCTTTCAGACCTTTTTGACCATGCAGAACGAGAACAAGCCATTTTGCGCCGTGTGCCGGAAGCAGCTGAACTCGGCTGACCAGTATTCTGCTCACATCGGCGGGGCCGGCCACAAGAGGAAAGTGAGGGAGCAGATTTTAGAGGAGCGCTCAAACGGAGGTACAAATAAAATAGAATACACTTTTGACCATCTCATTTGTTTTGCTGGTTTTTTAAAAACTAGATCTAGATCTAGTGTTACTGATTGGTGCAACTGCTCTGCATGACTATGCTATGGTGTAAAGGCTGGTTATTTCTATCATGATATACTGAGTACATTGTATTAGCAATGCCAATTGCCCGCTGCGCCTTGGGCCGGAAATCGGCCTCCGCGCGAGGGGTAATTTTTGGGCCGCTCGGAATCAGAAGTGACTCTCTTTTAAGTATAGTTACGGGAAAACTCCTGGATGAAAATAAATGAAACTGGGCAACCAACCAGAGGAAAGGTTAAACTAACGACATGCCAGCGTACAATCCCGAACGATTACTAGAACCGGAGATATTGCCGTGTTTGTGCGAATTTCCTCTGCGGTTCAAAAACTAAGCGGAGCTGCGGGTTGATCGCCGACCACACAAGTGCCCCACATGTCTTCTTTATTGCTCTAAAATTTCAGATCTCTGCGTTTAGTAGATTTTCCGTACCAACTTAAAATTACCACCCATCCATTGATAAAACACTAGATCTGGAAAGTTGATCGCGCATTCCAAACGCGAGGTGCCGGCATGCAAGAGGCTCGTGATCGCTAGGCGGCATGTGATTGGCTGCCTATAACCAAATAGGTCACCGATAACTACATCGCGGGTTTTCCCGATAGCGCTTTACTGAGTTAAATTAGAAGGGGTGATCGCGTCGCGGTAAAAACGATGTCACGCAATTCAACAAATTTCACGCAAATATCAGTCTTTAAGATCCAAAGTCATAATGAAGACATCGAAAAAGTGATAGCAGAACTAGATTCTGCACTAAAAATCACATGGAGATGCCAACTTTCATTCATATGCTCCAATTCATTACTGACTTATGAACAGTTTTTCCTCAGAATACATCAAAACATGTCCCACATTTTGGCGATTTTTTCCTATATGAAGGTCCTCCAACATTTTGCAAACAAAAATCCCAATAACCTTTTTATTTGTCAATGGATTTTTTAAATTTAAAAACCATAGTTCTTAGAATTTACTCTATTTTCATTTAAAAGCCCATTTTAAAGCAATTTGGATGAAAAATTAATTTTTCATTGTCATGGCTACATTATATATAAAATGTTCTTCATACAGCACACCTAGTACCCTGTATTCTGGTTTGGTTTGCTCCTTCTTTCCTATCAAACATCTATCGGCCTAATATATGGTAGTGTCAATTGCCACCGAGTGACGCAGTGGCAATTGACAAAAATTGACTTTTTGTCAATTGCCACCGAGTAAATTGGAGCTCTTTTGCGTCGGTGGGTAGATCTAGCTTATTGTGCTCGAGTGCTTGGTGTTGTGCGTTCGCCTCTCTGTCCGTGTGTGTGTGTGTGTGTGTGTTTTCCTGACCCCCGTCCCCCGATTTATGTTCCCCGATATAACGTGAAGTTCTGCTTGAATTTGTGAGCGTTTGTGACCTTCTACTTCTAGAATTGCCTGTGTTGGTTCTACACCGAAGTGTAGGCTAAGGCTAGCCTAGATCTAGGCCTACGTCTCATTGAAAACACGCCAAGTTGGTACCGTAGCTCTAGACTAGATGCTCGTCCAATGAAATTAGTTGAGAACAAATTGGCCCATTAGACACACATTATGTATAATGCTTAAGATAGTGTTGTTTTCAGACTTGACACCGCTTCACTCGGTGGCAATTGACAAAAAGTCAATTTTTGTCAATTGCCACCGCGTCACTTGGTGGCAATTGACGCTACCATAACATATATCTCTCCTTTTTTGAGTATGTTACTCCCTTGTAACACATCAAATTTTTGATGACCTTATTGTGTTGCAAGTGCCGTAAAACTCTTACGAAAGCTAAACTAGTATTAGTACATATTCCGCATATATACTCTACTTGCTTTTTACTTGCAAGTTTATTTGGCTTTATATCTTGTTTTTATCTATAGTTATAGTGGATTTCTGCATAGGAAAGTATTGCTACACACTTCAACCCCTAACTATACACACTACCTACAAGTGTGAACGCACATTTATTCATCATGTACAGCAAAAAAAAATACATCTTTATCTCATTTTGAACGTCTGTAATACTTATGAATCATATTCAATCTCACAAAATAATTAACAAAAGAGGTGACCAGGATGTTCATTTTTCTAAGCAGAGTTGTGCCCCTTGAGATTTGTGTACCGCATATTCTACTTGTTTTTTACTTGCAAGTTTATTTGACTTTATATCTGTTTTTATAAATAGTTATAGTGGATTTCTGCTTAGGAAAATATTGCTAAACACTTCAACCCCAAACTACACACACTACCTACAAGTGTGAACGCACATTTTATTCATCATGTACGGCAAACAAACAAAAAATCTTTATCTCATTTTGAACGTCTGTAATACTTATGAATCATTAATCTCACAAAATAATAAACATTAACAAAGGAGGTGACCAGGATGCTCATTTTTCTAAGCAGAGTTGTGCCCCTTGAGATTGTGTGAGAAGCCTGCTCTTTTATTGTCTTCCTGTGACCGGCTCCTTCGGAGGAGGATGATATGTTTATTGGTCAAGTAATGGCTATTGTTCTTGTGACTTAAACATTGAAACATAACGTCTTGATGATACGTGTTTCAGAAAACTCTGCTTCTGAGGAAGGGCCGACTCAGAAGAAGATTGTCTTGCCGATTAAACCCTTTGTACGCAGTGAGGAGCAGCAACGAACTGACCAGGTGAATTATTTTTTGTACGTTTGGGCCTTTCTCATACAGTTTGATGAGCAGGAGTTCCTTTCGAAACATAGTTGTCTCTTTCAACTTGTATATGGGGGGGGGGGGGGGGGGGGGCTCACGTGGCCTCGTGGTTAAGGTGTTGGCCTCTCATTCAAAGGTCACGGGGTTGAATCCGGCTGGCGGCGGAAAAATTTTCTTCTCTAAAATTGTCTCCTTTCACCTTCTTTCCTGCTTTCTAGCAATGTTCTGTCGTCTGCTTTCGTCTCCTCTTTCTGCTCCAATCCCCTCACCTCCTTTGCCCCCTCCTCTGGGTTCCTGACTCTTTCTGCAGCCTTTCTACTGCTACTCCTTTGCTCCTTCTTACTGCTGTCTTTCAACCACATCCCTGATCTTCTGGAAGGAAAGATCTACACCTAGCCTCCTCGAACAAGGGCGAAAAATCTCAGAGGTCCCATGTGCAAGTTTCGCACATTAAAGATCCCTTGGTGGTCTAAAATTGATAAGAGTAGGCTTTGGCTGTCACCCGAGAAAATTTCAAAATTTCCTACCAACAGAAAATGTTTGGTGTGTCTCGTGCGATCATATGGCCTTGTGCAGTTGCGAGCACCGTAAAACACTTTTTTTTAAAAAGATGTTACAGCCCCCAACTGTTACGGAATGAACAAATCGCTGTTTTTTTGTTTGTTGTTTTTTTAAATCTGTAAAACGTGTCCTGCTGTATCCACCCTAAAAATGGAGGGTTAAGAAAATATTTCAAGATGAAAATCTCAGTTGTCAAGGCTTTTAGGGTTTTGGTCTAAGGAATGTGTCTCTCTCCATGTCTTTCTCTGTACACACATACTCACTTGGAAATACTCCAGCAAGGAGCCAGGTTGTTCGTCAGTCCCAGTGGGTGGTTGGCGGATGCTCTGCTGTGGTTTGCTCCTTCTTTCTTATCGAACATCTATCGTTCTGATCTCTCCTTCTCCTTTTTTTATGTTTGTTACTCTCTTGTAACACCTCTAATCTTATCTTCGACACTTATATGACCTTATTGTGTTGCAAGTTCCGTAAAACTCTTACTTTAACAAAAACATAGGATGATGTAACATTTTTTCGTAAAGGTGTGAAATTTAGCTGATTTCCTGTGAAATAAATATATTTTTGCTCCTATGTTTGTTGAAATAGTCTGATTTCGTACAAATTCTACATTTGTATTGTTTGTCATGGATGGAGGAAAAGAGGCACTCCATTTGTGCTCACCACTTTAGAATGACTCTTCATATGCGAGAAATTGTGGAGAAATTAGGCATTCGTCAAAATAATGAAATTGAAGAAACTGGCATTTTTCTACCGGTTTGACAATTTTGATCAAATTTTGTTTTTTGGCTTATCACCATTGTTGTCCAATTAAAAACGCATTTCTGGGTGGATTGTACTGAAAGCGTAGATTAAAGGTACGAAAAAGTAGGTTTTCAGTTTCCATGGACTGTCAAGGTATGGAAATAACCATACTATTTTCTCGCTAATTCTACCTTTGAAACCAGGCAACCCCACCTTGTTCAATCTCCAATATCTTGACTTCTGTTCAAGATAGATGGACATTTTTTTTCACTGATAGCAAGACAACTGAACAAGCTTTAAGATGATACTATAGCTCAAAATGCCCAAATTTTAATGAGCGCCTGATTCCACCACGTCATGACACATATAAATATATATTTTTCAATTGCTATTCTTATCTACAGAAAGAGAATATGGATTCTACCTGCTCGAGCCAGGCAGTGGACGGAACAAATAATTCGTTGTCGGTTCTTGATCGGTGCAAGACCATAGGGCCGAAGCAGGAGATCGTAGACGGGTCGCTCCGATGTGACGTGTGCAATGTGTCGAACACGTCCCAGCACCAGGCTCAGGCCCACTATGCCGGCAGCAAACATCAGAGGAACGTTGCCAGAAAGCAAGGTGGTTTTCTTTTTCTTTCTACTTCATTTCCGTGCCCAGTGCTGTACAGATTGGGTCTGCTTCACTCTTTGCTTTGTGGTTTAGTGGAAATCGTATGTCGTACCGAAATGTTCTTTACTTTTTCATGACACCCAATAAATTCATAATAATATACTGTAGTTTATTGTTATAAATGTTCTCCACAACTTTTGACTCATTTTGGCCTGGTGTGAGACAGTATCAGATTCTAAAAGATTTGAATTGAGGTTTCCATTTTCCTGTATCATCTAGGGGAAGGTTATCAAGCCTTTGTTTATCCTTTCTTTTGCTGTGTCTTTAACTCTTACATTATGTGCAAGGGATATTGAGATCTGCTGTTTTTAGACCTTGGTGAAATAATGTTACACAATCTTGTTCTGTTTTAGGCGCTTGCCTGCGAGTGCCAACTTTTTTTTCTTACAAACAGAAAAGTGAATGAGCAAATACTTATTACCAAAATACACCAACATGGTACGGTGGTCGCTGCCTAAAGGCTCGGCATACAAAGGCACGCTCCGCTCAAACACACGCTTTTGTCGTATGACGAGGTTTTTTTCTATATAATTATATATTAACAGTACTATTTTCAATGACAATGTTGTATTAAAAAAACAAAAAACAACTATTATAGCTTTATTCAAAACGTTAACTGGAATGCTTGTGTAAAACCACGTGAGGGGGGGGGGGGGTGGAAAAG